CAACTACAAAACATGGGAGATTCTTTTTATCCGATGTTTAATACTTCACAACCGATGTTTAACACTGTTTTATATAGGACTCTGCTATATTTTACTTCCTCATGCTATTTCAAAAACCAGTGTGACGTCATAACTGCACTTAAGGTATACGATCCATATTAGGAACAACATTTCTAACCTTAAATAGCAATTGTTTGTAAAATATCCTAACATTATTTTAAAGCATTTTAGAGTAGAAAGGGATTTACCCAGAGAAATTTTCAAAAATTTTATTGCCTAAGTAGAAATTAATTATTGAAGATTGCATTGAAGTCTATGGAAAGAAGTAAGTTTTTTAAAATAAAAAAAAATAAATACTTCAAATATCAGAAAATGCGGTGGTGGAAAGATGTATTTGATCATTCGGAATAGAAGAAAAAATTAGAAATATTTTTTTACCAGACAAATTCTGTAAAAAATTTATTTTATTGAATAAAATCAAAGGGAGATGACTCGTAAAGGGCAGTAAAAGGTCATAAATTAGGACATGTCCCACTCTTACACTCTGATACTAAAAGATGAAAAGTACTTCTAACTGCACTGATAATTTAGCCCATACATATTTATTATGCATTCAATTGCATTGAATCTGGGGCTAATATGGATCGGATACCTTAAGTGTGGGATATGAAAACGATATCCAATGAGCTATATCCACGGGATAAAGGTGTAAACATGGGATAAAACAGTTTATGTGACCACTTTCATCACATAGTTAATACACTGTGAGAAGCCGGAAAACAAGGGCTATTCGAGACACTGCCTTATAAATGAATGGTAAAGAATAAGTAAACTAGAGTGAAAATAAAAGCTTCATTAAAGCTGCTCTATTTTAAAACTTGTTAAAAATCCCAAAGAAATATTCACTGATACATGTGACATTTACAGCAACGAATCAACGCCTGTTTTATAGACTAGTTAGAATAATCTAACTGTGTCTCGGTACAGGCCCTCACCACAGTTAGAATACGTCCCATATACTTGTAATGTAGCGAATCGGAGCGGATCCGCTCCGAAACGATTTTGAAGAATATAAAATGATTTGCACTGGGAATAACTACCAAAATAATCAAAACAAACCTTCTTGAGATTGCTTATGCCTTTTATCCCAAAAAATAATCCATATAAATACGTAAATCCAATTAATTTTCTCAACGTTTTTCGCTCCATTCAAATGTTTACATTCGGAACTCTCTAGATTGTTCCTAGTAAATGCACTATCGCCCGTGTTTCTTTCTGCTACATTACGAATACACGGAACGAATTCTATCGTTAAACCGGGTCCGTAGGACAATATCATTTTAACGATAGAACATTCTATCTATTTATAGACAAGTGAGCAGGTGGATTTCAATGATAAAAAATTACATAATGGGCATCAAGAATGGGTACCGTCCTTGCTAGCTGCAATAATGTAGCCCTCTCCGACTTTTTTTTTTTTTTTTTTTTGGAGAGGGCTACAACTCCTTAGGATCCCTATAATGGCGCAGATGCGGCAGTGGATCACTCCCGCACGGATTTCGGCTCAAATTATCAGTAAACGGCTATTTTATTATTATCTCTTACCTGGAATCCAAATATGTAATTATGCAAAACATAAATCGATCCAAAAATATTCACAAAGACCCATATACCGGTTATTTTTCGTGTGTGTCAACAGCTTAACTTGAATTTATCCGCCATGTATACTGACCTTGATGGATTGTATTTTGGGACAGCCAATGAGAATTTAGGTTCTATAGGACCGGATCTACTAGGAATTTCCCTTATTTTAAGTATAAGTATCGCTGTTTGCGCAAAAATAACACTTGAAATGGTTTTATTTATCGATGTTTTTGTAATATATTATAGCACAATCGTTTATAAACATCGACATTTGCTTTATTTGGTTGTTCCAAATTTCAAGCGAAAGTCTCACTACGTCACGCGTGAACTGTCATGGCTGCTAAATATTGCAGCTGGGAAAGACACAGATTTATTTTACATGGTTTTCGAGTTTAACAGGCTATGTTGTTGACAGTGAATAAAAATTCCGTCTTATAAGAAGTAAGTTTAATGTAAAAATAATTTATTTTGCCTCCAATCACCCGTATCAAAAAAATATATTTGCACCATTACGGAGATGCGATGGAATTGTAGCCCTCTCCAGAAAATATCAGATAAAAAAAATCGGAGAGGGCTACATTATTGCAGCTACGTCCTTGCCAACAAAAATTTTTAACAACTTATGTACTGTTTTCCAAATTTCAACAAATAATATTTGATGATGTATGATTGACTGTAAGACACATAGCAAATTTGATAGACATGATTTCTGGAGTAGTTTACATCGTTTTTAAGAAACGTTTGACGGTAAAAAAGCTTAGTACTCAAAGGTCATCCTATATTTTGAAAAATGAGTGAAAACGACAGCGTGTACGAATGTCTTAACAATTATTTTAAAATATCAATAATTGTAGTTATCCACGTTTGTTTGATATTCAAACAGATGATGGAACATGAATCTGTTGCTTAAAATCCTCAAAACAAAATTTACTATAAGATGTACTTGATGAAAACAGCGAGGGTCTGACAAGACCCAGGAATTCCAAGAGCACAAAAACAGATTTATATTATGCAATTTTCTTAAATATAATTAAGGAATGTATTATGTTTTTCAGTTTTGTGTGAGTTATTGTTGTGTGAATCACACATACTTGTCACGTAGGCATATTTCATGAAGCGCTAGCGCGCTTCATGAAAAATATGCCTACGTGCAAGTCTGTCTGATTCACACACCAATAATTCACACTAAACTGAAAAACATTCCTTATATTTACATTTTAGATGTTTGGAAGCAACTAAAATATGCTAAATATTTGAATTTCTCGCTGCCCTATATCGTTGCACTTTAACTTACGTCGCTGCAGCCTCATTGTGACGTCACGTTAACGCTCGTTTCTCCGTGTATATTTCTAAGCGTGAGTATACACGAAAATAATTTAATTTTGATTATATTCTAGTCTCTCATTGGTTGATTTCCAAAAAGGAACACAAGAATAAAACGTAATAACCTGGTTTGGTATGGGGACACACCCCCTTGACAACCAGCTGATAATTCATCTGTATCTATGCAATCCCACATTTCCAGTCCATGGAATTACATGGAAAATTCTACATTTAATAAATGTACTTTTAACTTCAAACAGTAGCTCGCTCTTACCTCGTGTAAACAAACATCATGGCTGCTAGATCTGTGTATCAGTTATTACGTCCCCTTGTTTCAAATCACTTCCGTTACTAGGGATGTATTATTGAGCGGCAAATTTGAACTCATAAAAAGCAGCACAATTTTACATCCACAGTTGTTTAATTATTTAAAAATTAAATTATAAGGAATGACTCTAATTCTTGGCCAAATTATTCGATTATAACCTGGTTTGGGTCAGTTTACGCTTTTTTATAATCCGCTTCGCGGATTATAAAGCGTAAACTGACCCAAACCAGGTTATAATCGAATAATTTGGCCAAGAATTAGAGTCATTCCTAAAATGATTTTCAAATCAATTTCACAGTAAGCTTACTAGAAAAACACAGCGAATGTAAATTTATGGTATTATTGTTCAAATCGTATTCGGGGAGACAGTTTAATTTCTGGAAGAGGCTAGAAAGCAATTTTTTGGCAAAAAAATCGAAAGATTTATTAGAGGAAGGACCCAGAATCAGAATGCCGATTTGATTGATTTATTGTATATTGTTTAACGTCCCTCTCCAGAATATTGAACTGATATGGAAACGTCACCATTGCCGGTGAAGGGCTGCAAATTTAGGCCTATGCTCGGCACTTACGGCCCTTGAGCAGGGAGGGATCCTTATCGTGCCACACCTGCTGTGACACGAGGACTCGGTTTATACGGTCTCATCCAAAGGACCGCCCCATTTAGCCGCCTTTTACGACAAGCAAGGGAAGAGTAAAGTGGTTTTCGGGATAAACAGAAAGTTAATGTTCTAGCTTTCACATCAACAATATTCGCCAGATATTTGACCTTTTGACTCGTTTCTATTTCTAAACTTGAAAAAACACCTTACCTTTCAGGAAATCATTGGATCTGCCATTTTCCAGTATTCTAAGGGTTATACCCAAAACTGAGTTCTAAAAACAATCAGAAATTGGATAAAAAATGTTACGGATATGTGTTTTAATTAAAAGACACTAATAAGATCAATATGAGCTGCATTTTTGAGAATTTTTATTTAGCTGGTAAAATGTGTTATTTTGTTTAATCTGTTTGTAATCTAAACCCTTATGATCAATAAAATCACAATAAAGTTTTAAAATGTTTCAGAAGAAATATTTTTGTATAACCATAGACCTAAAGGTCTATGGTATAACCACTGATATCCGAATATACAGTATTATATAAGAAATCATTATTGTACAGGACGACAATATAATTCAATTTTGCTTCAATCAAAGCTTATAAAAAGTTCTTCCATAGCAATCACAGGTGCTTGTGGACAGGACCCCCCCCCCCCCCCCCCCGATATTCAACCCCAGGGCTTATTTGACATTTTTTTTTTCACAATTTATATTAAGTACACTTATTCAACATGTTTGCAATAGGAACAAATCGTCAAAACCCCAAAATAATCGCTCCACAAAAAAATACCCCACTATACATTATAAGAGAGCTCTCTTATAATGTATAGTGGGGTATTTTTTTGTGGAGCGATTATTTTGTTTGTTAATCAACAAATGATGTTCATATTTTTGCTAATCAATATATATAGATGATGCCTTAGGTAGGAATTGTAAACATTAAAATTAATTTTTAAAAAATCAGTTAAAACTGTGTCCAGGCCCCTTTAAAGAAACCGGATGTACCTTTAACATTGGGCTCAATATTTATAAAGAGGTATAAGTGATAAACTTATAAATAATTCGCTACTGGAGGGAATCTAGCTAAAAGGCCTAACACATTTTTGACGTAATGGCTACGCCCATTGACACAGTGACTGTTTTTGATTGTCCAATTTGTTTAGAAAAGTTATCAATTCCAAAGTATCTTCCATGTCTTCATACATTTTGTACGTTGTGTATACAGACATTTATCGAAAAGTTTAAGAAGAAGTCCAGTTTTCTATGTCCTGTATGTCGACTTGAAGTCTCAACTCCGGAAGCAAACATTACTTCTGAGGAATGGGCCTGTAAATTACCGCTAAATCATCTTCTATTATCACTTCAAGATGCTTCAGAGAAATCGAATTCTCAAGATGTTTTATGTGAACCATGCAAACGTGCTAGTGAAAAAAGGAATGCCAAGTTTTACTGTAGAGACTGCATGGACAGTTTGTGTGAAAGTTGTCTGACATACCATCATAGAAGAATTCGTCATTATGAAAGTCACATAGTTACGGATATTTCAAAATATCCACAAGAGGTTATGACAAAGGAATTAATTGTGGAGGAGCCGTGCATGATTCATAAAAACAAAGTCCTAGAAGTGTACTGCTTTGACCATGAAACTCTTTGTTGTAGCGTCTGTTTTGCAACATTACATAGAAAATGCGATGAAGTAAAATCGCTTGAAGAAGTTGTCGAAAAAATGGGAGAAAATATACATCCAGCGAATATTAATTCAGCACTAGCTTCAATTAAAGCAAAGGCAGATACAGAAATCAACAAAACAAAGAACAACTTCAAACAACTTGAACATAAACACGCACAAATTGTAGGAACAGTTGTGGCTCATGTTGAAGAAGCAAAACGGAAGTTAGAAACACTGAAAAACACTTTCATTAAAGACTTTCAAATAGTGCACGACAATGAAAAAAGTCTTTTATCAAATACAGAGGCAATTTTCTAGTGGAATTTTCAAAGGCTCTTGCAAGATCCGAAAAGATACTCAGTTTTACAGCTTCCAATGGTAGTAAAAGACCATTGTTTCTGACAGTAGAGAGAATAAAGTCAGAAGTGTTCAACCATTTAGATCAACTTCGCAAACAAACTGAAAATCAAAGTATTGTAGACTATATTTGGGAGGAAAAATCAATCATAAATAAGATTCTTGCTGAAGAAAGTATTGGACATCTGCAAGTGCTAAAGTCAGAGAGAAGTATACATGCCAATTTGCAGAAAGAAGTGGATTTGTTGAAAAAAGCTACCAGTTTACAAAAGCATCAGGAGTCAAAACCTGAAAATACAGCAAATAACAGTTCTAATGTGTGGAGTTTGCCTTCCCAACAACCAAATGTGTGGAGTTTGCCTTCTCAACCACCAAATGTGTGGAGTTTGCCTTCCCAACCACCAAGTGTGTGGAGTTTGCCTTCCCAACCACCAAATGTGTGGAGTTTGCCTCCCCAACCATCAAACGGAATACAAGGGCATGCAATTTCCACCACTCCCTGGATAACTGATGGGAAATGATGAGAATGCCAAATGCCAGTGATTGTGCAGTAAAGTCTTTATAAAGACTATCAGTGAGAATAAATTATGTGAGACATACCCCGAACCAGCACTACAGGAATCAGTGAATGAAAACAAAGTGTCATTAAATGTGTCACCTTCAAAACCTGAAGGGAATCCATTTAACAGGGCAAAGCCTAATACAATGAAGTTACCAGCTCCCCCTCTTCCCCCTTCTAGTAAAACATATTCCCCAAATAATTAAAGGTTTGATTGGAGGGAAGAATCATAGAGCAAAATCAAAGGCCTGAAGGGCCACAATGGCGCCATGCTTTAGATATGGCAGTGATACCGTGAAATAATTATATACATGCGCGGATCTAGAGGGGGGGTCGGGGGGGTCAGGACCCCCCCTGGAATTTACCAGGTTAAAAAATGTATAGAGTAAAACAAGAAAAAAAGTTACCATGGACCCCCCCTGGAAAACGCTGACCCCCCTCTGGTAAACGCGAATATGTGAAATGGGTATGAAAAGCGAAAGATTTGAGGCATTAGAAGTCACCACTACACCCCCCCCCCCCCCCCCCCCCCCCCCACGAAATAGGTTTTTGACGTTTGGGCGCAATTTTAGGTTTTTCTTTTGATATAGCTGAGTTGTACATGTATATCTAGATAAAATAACCCGATTTCAGCATTTATGAAATAAAAGCATTCAACTCATATGGTCCAACTGAACAGCTTGAGAACAGGTTTTAATTTGTAGTCACTAGTCAGTACCCCAGTAAAAGGGTATTAGGACCATACTTGCCAACACCCTAGATGTAAAAATCTGGATCCGGTTGTATCAACATTTAATGAACGATTAAAGCTTCATTAAACTGATTATTTTTAATGTGTCATTACGTTGTATCAAAATTTTAATGAACGAATCGGTGCATTAAACCTTCATTAAAATCCTCAACTTTAATGAAGGTAAGGGGGCTTCATTAAGTGGTCATTAAGTATGGCGGCCTACTATATGATTTGCCTGCTTGGCAGAAGGAGAAGAAGTGCCTTTTGTAAGCCTTTTTCATTGCACATTAAGGACGAGGAAATTCGGAAATGATACTGTTTTAAAAAGAAAATAACTTACGGTCTGTCGAACCTTCAATATAGACAATAAGACATTCGGAATCACAAATACATCACCTACCTTGTCAACAAAAGTATAGATACAAAGATGCTTCCTTAAATCAAAGCACAATAGAAATCCCAACTGTAATCCCAGTGAATCCAAAATACCTTCTTGTTTATTTGTAAACTTACTAAGTGACGTCATTTCTTTCGTCATCTGATCTAGGCTATGAGGTGGTCATGTCTTTGTAACAAAGGTAAACAGTAAAAATAAATGAATAAATAATAAAGCTCCTATTGTAAGGTCTACGGGTATCAGTAAAATCATGCTTATGAATAATATATATATATACAATGAATCAGATCTTATTCTATATGCTGTAATTAATGATATCGGATACTTTCTTCTATTCGTATTGTTAGAAATATGTTGAATTTTTCTAAAAACCCCTCCCATTATTATATCTATATGTACATTCGTTGAATGATTTTTATTGTTTGTGTGACTGAATTTTAAGAATGAATTTATAAGAATAGAACAACATAGGAGGAAATGAAGAGAAAAAAATTAAAGTGAAATGTAATAAGCACGAATTTGAACAGTAGACAAAAAGAGTTACATTATCAATCAGGTATAGTGCTTTTAAGAATATATAAATAGGAAAAAGATGTGTCGACCCCCCATTTTAAAGAGAAAAAATAAGAGGAGCGGGAGTCCCCCCCCCCCCTTGCCTGTAATACCAAATAATAGGCAAGTAGACAGAATAAGAAGGAAAACAAAATACACAGACTTTTGGTAGTATATAATTCACTTTCATAACAACCCCCACCCCTTCCGCTACATGTATTTATAGTGATATTGAGATTGCTCTCCAGAAGTTCGGTTAAAAGTTGAATTTTGCTAGAATTAATTTTCTTTCCATGATTTCTAAATACATTTTAATTGAAATCCACCAGTAATTCTAGTGAACTTTTTGATGAAATGGCATTTTTTTATGTTAGGCCTATATCCTTCAAGACACTCACAGACTTCGTTAAATAAAGTATTTTTTTGTAAAATTTCACGTCATAATGAAAATGATTTTATTCGGTTGATTTTTTAAAACACTATTTTATTAATCAGAGCTTATTTATTAGAGGTATTTTGTAAAGAAAGGAAACGCCCACGGATACGCCCCCGGAAGTATTAATGCGTTGCATTGTGGGATATTTCCTAATGTTAATAAATCTTTAATGAATTCTTAAATATTTAATGATTCATTAAGTAATAAGACTCTAATAAAGGTTTTGTACAACACACTTTAATGACTCTATTAACTAATGTATCATTAAGAATTTAATGAATCATTAGGCTTAATAATTCATTAAATTTAATGAACCGTTGATACAACCGGGTCCTGGTCATTTGTGTACATGTATTGATAATTCTTTTATTCAAAAAAAAAAAAACTTTACTGAATTATTTACTTACTATGACAAAAAATTATTGATTAAATTGACATGTTAAATAAGAACATTGGTTTCATTGTCCAGCATTGACCTGAATTTTGTTAAGTCTGCATTAAAAAAAGCCTTTTTTTTAGTATGCTACCTTCAATATCACTGATTTACTTTAATACATGATAGTATGATTATATTATATTATATATATATATATATATATATATATATATATATATATATATATATATATATTCATACATAAACTAGAACTGTCCAATAGGGACAAATACCCCCCGCAGGGTTTTTCAGAGAAGGTGCCAATTCAAAAATACTTTATGGATCTAGAGATGTTCACAATTTACTTTAAAAAATTTGCAGTGAAATATAATTGCTCATCATGTTTCTTTAATGAATGAAACGGAGGTGCAACCAAATGAAACATCAATACTAATACTGTAATACATTGTAATTCCATTGTAACATTTTTTTTTTCATTTAATTTTTCTTCATTACTGCATTAAAAAAATATATTGCAATTATGTGTTATGTCACTCTGCAAACTGATTGTTGAAAAAAAAAACCATTATACAAAATCAAATTAATCTTGATATATCAATTTGAAATGCATTTTGAAAATAAAGAACTGGTCATCCAGTAATGAAGTGTTTTGACAGACAATAAATTACAATTAAGAGAATAAGAGAAGAGAGATCTTTAATTCTTGTGCCTTATTCCCTGAAGATTTGATAACACACACACACTTGATAAGAGATATGCCTAAACAACTTCCAACACCAAACGCATTAATTTATCTTTAACTGGATGCATGTCCAGTCATTATTCCCAAGAGACAAATGAAATTACATTATCTTCTGTGCAATGTAAAAACTGTTTTTAACACTTGATGTTTCCTTTTTTTAAAAGTTTTTATGAGTAGTTTTAAGCTGTAGTTCACGTTTTTGTACAGATATTCTAGATTCTATGTCTCAAACCTTATACATGAGCCCAAAATGAACAAGTCAATTAAAATTTTAAAAAAACCTATAAAATGCAGAAAAATGAAGAAAAAGAGTTGAAAATTCCAGGTGCACAACTTCATATGGTGAATAATAATTGTACAAATTTTCAGATTAATCCTTGCAATAGTTTTTGAGAAACGGTCCAAACAAAACCCCAAAATAAAAATGAAAAAACACCTGTAAAATTCAAAATAATAATCCAATCAAGATGAAAAATATCAGGTGCACAACTTCATATGGTGAATAATATGTGTACAAATTTTCAGACAAATCCTTCCAATAGTTTCTGAGTAATGGTCCGGACAAAGTCTCGTCTACAGACAGACGGACAGACGGACAGACGGACATGGTGATTCCAATATACCCCCCCTAAACTTCGTTTGCGGGGGGTATAATTATAATTTATGTTTGGATATGTGTAACAGTAAGTGTATGTGTGTATGAAACTATGTATTCAGATTAGAATGTGAAATATCTATTGAACTAACTCTGAAAGATACATTTTGCAACAAGTTTATAATTATATGCTAAGTACTTGTTAATTGAAATTATTATTACTGTTAACACTTGAATGATTTTTCTTGAACGAGCGTCTTGAATACTTAGGGCACAGGTTGCTAGACTGGCTGTGTAGAGGTATCATCCCCTGGTGCCCTCTGTATTCTGGATGCACTATATAATATCGCACTGCCATTATTACAAGAATGTTCAAGTTTTATTTATTTAGTATTTCTTCTTATTATTTTTTATCATCCTGTGGTTTTCTATACTTTGGATCCAGTGAGAGACTATACTATGAATATGTAACAAATCCTACATTTTCATGATGATACAACTTGTGGTATTGCACTACTCCATGTGAAACCTAATTACTAAGTCATATTACATTATGCATATATAATGTAATCAGTGTAATCATATTGTAATAATTTGTTCATGCCCCCTGAGGGCCCTTGATTGGTGAATAAACATACATGTATATATACATTGTATTGGGCAAGGTTAAAGTTTTTTGCAGACAAACACACAGACAGCTAGACAGACAGGCGGACACAGCAAAAAATTTATCCTTCTGAATCTTAGATTATGAGGGCATAACAAGAGGCCCATGGGCCACATCGCTCACCTGAGCACTAAGGGTAGGAAAAAGTAGAAAATGGCTTTTTATTGTAAAGTTTGAATCCAAAAGTAGTCCCATGACCAATCATGGATTTGCCATTTTTTAAAAAATGATTTTTAAACAATTTTCCTATATATATCTTTAAAAACTTTGGTTGGCCATTTTGGCCTCGCCCTACCCCCGGGGATCATGATTTGAACAAACTTGAATCTACACTACCTGAGCATGCTTCCATATAAATATGATGAATAATGGCATTGTCATTCTTGAGAAGAAGATTTTTAAAGAATTTTCCTATATATTTCTTTGTAAAACTTTGGTCAGCCATTTTGGCCCCGCCCTACCCCCGGGGGTCATGATTTGAACAAACTTGAATCTACACTACCTGAGCATGCTTCCATATAAATATGATGAATTATGGCTTTGTCATTCTTGAGAAGAAGATTTTTAAAGAATTTTCCTATATATTTCTATGTAAAACTTTGGTCGGCCATTTTGGCCCCGCCCTACCCCCGGGGGTCATGATTTGAACAAACTTGAATCTACACTACCTGAGGATGTTTCCCATAAGTTTCATCTTTCCTGGCACAGTGGTTCTTGAGAAGAAGATTTTTAAAATATGCCACCAAATTTTAATTAATTCCCAATTATCTCCCCTTGAATGAGGGTGTGGCCCTTCATTTGAACAAACTTGAATCCCCTTTACCCAAGGATACTATGTGGCAAGTTTGGTTGAAATTGGCCCAGCGGTTCTTGAGAAGAAGTCAAAAATGTGAAAAGTTTACAGACAGACGGACGCTGGACAAAATGTGATCAGAAAAGCTCACTTGAGCTTTCAGCTCAGGTGAGCTAAAAAGCAGTCAGGTGTGATGAACGCAAAGGGTATATCCACAAGCAGATACTTGGAAATAAGAAAACCAATATGAAATATGCCCATTGCGAGTCAAGTTCAGTTCTTAAAAAAATGATTTGACAGTTTTTGGTATTGTTGAATAAAATGTGTATTGACGTATTTGGACTTTTACTCTTTAGGCAATCTGCTTGAATTTCCATGGACAGAAATTGTTGTTACAATGTATACTTGTACAAGCTTTACTGTGGAAAACATGAATTGCTTTGGACTGAATGGATCAATAAATACTAATGAATAGGACATCATGATGAATGAATTCAAGCAAATATTTAACACTTATTTAATATTACTCTAAGACATCTTATGAATAACAAATTTGTACAACTGTACTTCAAAATTTATACAGTCTCCACTGAAATGCTGCCTATGCACTTATACTGACAAAATAAAGCACAAATGTCGATCTACATTTTACAAAAATGTAACAAGAAAGTTTAGGCCTCCACAAAAGAAAATTTTCAGTGCACTACACAACTTCATCAAATGTCTAGCACTTGACACTGAACACAATGTTAATCTGTTTCACACATTCTAGATATACAGCTCATATATGCAGGTAATATCCATTACTCAAAGTCAACATTGTTTTCATTAAGTTCCTGTTGATATTAATTTTGGAAACACAACTTGCTTTAAATTCCTCTTTTAACTTCCTTTTGATATTTACATCATCTTTTTCTTCCCCCTGCCTGGCCCCCTGCCCCTCCCTCTCCCCCGCCCCCGTTTGGAGGGCTTTTTGTTCCTCCCCATACACTTAGAGCAGTACCAGTGTTCTTCTTCAGCAGGCTCTTCCTTAAGTCCAACACAAGGCCTGCAATAAACAAAAAAATTGTGAATAGGTTTCCCATGAATGAAGACTTGTGTTTTCTGGTTTCATCATTTTATATTCCGTCTGTTCATATAAAAGTTTGCTTTAATGATAATGATAAGTTTTTCTTAAGAAAACTAGGTATAAAACTTTCTATTTATATTTAAAGTGCAAAAATTCTACTACATGTATCATCTTCTACCTTAACAATATTTTAAGAAAATACTTGAGTATTTTAAGATTTTTTCCCTTTATCTGAGGTTCAATCAACATCAAAATTTGACTTTGAATCACTTTTTCTATATTTCTTTCTTTTTTACTATATTTTTTTTCATTAAACATTCTGACTAACTTATTAGAGAATCTTCATTCAACTTGAAAATACATTTCCATTTGTTTTGATATGGTGCAGGAAAGATAACTCCTGCTACATAAAATGACACTGACCAATGATACCAGTCATCACAGATGTCACAGCCAATCATAGGGCTCCCGTCGTCCGGCATCTTACAGGCGGGGCAAATCCAGACCTTCTGTCCAGAATCATCCTACAGTACATAATAACAAGCATTAATTCAAATAGCAAAGAATTATCAAATAACTTTGCTAAAGTCGATTACAAATTCTGGAAGAATCAAATAAATCAAGGTTTAGAACATCACTGCTTTCCTTCTTTTTTCAATACTAAAACAGATATCTGAGTACATTATCTTTATTTTCTTGTGAGAGGAGGAGTAGGGGACATATATACATGTATTCTTTAACAACGCTCATAATTCGTGACAAAATATTA